TCTATTTTTTTTACACTAATGGGGAAGAAAGTAAGAGCTTGGAGGCATGATAGAGGATTTTGCAACCCGCTCGCGACGGTGTGGCATATTCTCTTTGATGCACCCACTCTGACTTGATTTCTCTTTATACATATATTCTTCTTACTATTTTCGAATACTTCAGTTTAGTAAATGATTTTAAATTTCGGGGACGAAATTTTTATAAGGGGGGAAGATTGTAACACCCGCCCCCTAATTATAAAGATTTATGTTTGTAATTACCCCTAAATGTTTTAAATATATCTATTTCATCCTTTTTGTCTACCAAATCAGGATCCAAAGCATTGGATCCCTTTTCCTTCTAAATCTGCCACGTGGCAGCCCCCCCAAACAATTTCTCTTTCTTCTCTCTTTTCCCCCGTGAACTCCCTTCTTTCTTCTTCTTTTCTGTTTTTCTTTTCTTTCTTCATGTCTCTCCCTCTCGGCTCTCTCTCATCTCTCACTTCTCTCCCTCTTCTCTGCACCGTGCACACACGCACGCACCCATCTCCCCCGCGCGAGGAAGCCCATCACCCTTCATCATCTCGTCCTGCTCTCTCTCCCTCTCGTTTCTGTGAACTCGGCGAAAAACCCGGAAAGGAACTCCGGCGGATTTTTGTATTTTCCGGTTAGGTAAGCCCCTAATTCTCTCTTTTCGTCCTTGATTCTTGCGAGATTGAGGTTTAATTGGAGTTAATTCGTGATTTTTGGAGGTTATGGGACGAAATCGAAGCCGGGTGTAAGCACACCCAACTCCGGCAACCTCGGAGGTTTTTTCCGGCCATCTCCGGCCATTCCACGACGAAAGGAAGGTATAGAAATACTCCCCTCGTCTTGCTCTTCGTTTTGGTACCTAGATCGAAGTCTAGGGTTGTGTGTGGAAGTCGGCCGGAGCTGTGAAGCTCTGGTGGTGGTGCTCCGGTGAGGCCAGGCCTCCCAGGCCGGTTCCTGTAGCAAGAGGGCCTTAGGCCCGTGTGGTGAGGCCAGCCCAATCCAACCCATTTCCTTTTATTTGTTTTCATTTAATTATTTTGTTAAGACCAAAGGCCCTCGGGCCGTTTATGTTTAGGGTCTGTGGCCCATGACCCAACCCAAAAACCTTTTAAGGTTTTTGTTTATTTTATTTTCTGTTTTAGGAATTTAGGGCCCTTTGGGCCATTTTCTGTTAAGGGGCTGAAAGCCCTTTTCCTCAAAACCCTTTTCAGCCCTTTTCAGCCCAACCCAATTCAAAGCCCAATTGACTTTGACCTCTGACCAGTTGACTGTTGACCTGGTCAACGGTCAACGGTCAGAGTTGACTTTGACTTTGATCGGTCAACGATCAACGTTGACTTTTTGAGTTGACTTTTTGGGGTTTCGTCCAAGACCTCTCCTAGGCTAAATTCGACGTTCCGAATCCGTTTCCAACGTCCGTTTTCCCAAATTCAATTGCTATTATATAGTTTTATTAATTGTACCCTTTATGTGCTTAGGGGCAATATTTGTGACGTTTCCATGATTGCTAGTTTGCGTGGCTCTTCGGCGGCTAAGTATTTGTGAGTGGACCCCTTCAAAAGCATGTTTTAACAATAGAAATGCATACATGAAAATCATGATTTAATACTTATGTTTTATGAAATACTTTATGAGATAGTATGCTTACTGAGGCTAGATTGAATTATTACTATTTTTCCTATAACCCATGTTCTTATAGAATATCCGATGGATGACGATATGATATTTAGAACATGTTTAGAACACCTCTTTGTAGTATAGATGATGGATGACTTTATACTACGAAGTTGTTTTTCAGTATATATATGTTCAATGGTTTCGTACTTACCTAGTGGTCCTTTCCGCTACGGGACGTAGGGATAGATTCCGGTCCGTCCCGGGCGACGGTTTGGTGTTGGCATAGGGCCTGGAGTGTGTTTCCTCTGGCTATTTAGCACAGGGACGGGGAGCCGGCATGGGGCCTGTAGTGTATATTCCTCTGACTGTCCGCTCAGAGACGGGGAGCTGGCATGGGGCCTGCAGGTTATCGGACAATTCACTAGTGATTATTATATATATGAGTTATGATTTGAGACATTGCACGACATGCTAGGTTTCGGAAAACCTATGTTTAACATTATATATGTGTTTTCATAAAACCTGGGGGTTAGTACGTTGATAACTGTTTTATTATATATATATATCAACTTGGTCCACTCATGTTTGTTTTGCGCCCCCTTCAGGACTTAGAATCGAGGCGTACAATCCCGACATCCAGACACTTCCGCATCGGTATCTTCGAGTCCTCTAGGTGTAGGACCCCGTTCTGTGTTCATTCAATTTGTTTATGTTAATCTTCTAATATTCTCGATTAGATGTGTGCTCTGAACACGTTCCTTAAATGCATATTCTTTATTCTTTTATATTTATAAACCTTATTTATTCCTTATTCTCAGCATTTGCTTTCAATTAATGGCTGTTGTCACCCTTGGGTGTCGGCCAGCACGTGCCTATCTTGGTATTCGAGGAATATCGGGATCGGGGCGTGTCATAATTAATCTGCACCGTTGGATTTGAAAAATATTCAAATCCAAGAGCCAGGGAGTTGCCACGTGGCCAACGGTCATATTTTTGACCGTTGGGCCTTTTTTTATGTGAAAAAAACGTGGACTGTTGATCTGTGATCGAACGGTCCATTTTAAAAGTCAAATTTAAATTTTTTTACTGTTGAAAATCCAACGGTCTACAAAAAATAGCCGTTGGAAATCCAACGGCACTGAAGAGGGCCACGTAGCCCTATTCCGGGTGACCACAAGTGGGCTGACAAGCGGGCCCCGCTACCTGCAACCTTGTCTGCTACTCGCGCCCAATCATGAGTGTGCTGCACGCGCCAACCAAATAGGCCGGCCTCTGGGTCTGTTCGAAATGGGCTGGCCTGTTGCCTGGCTTGGGTTGAGTGCCAAGCTGTTTTGCGGGCTGGAGCAAATGGACAGGGTGTTGGGCTGCTTTTTGGACTGGGTGCTGGGCAATGTCCACTCCGGTGGACTTGCTCTAAGACCACATCTCTTGCGTCCTTCATCTCCGATTGACAACTCATATCACATCCTCGTCATCTTCAGCTCCTCAATTTGCAGAGATGGCCAACTCGATCATCAGCCGCAGCAGCTGCAAAACAAAAACCAAATTGCAACTGCCGAGAGCTCCGACTGCTAAGCCAACTCCTCCCTGCTTCGTCCCTCCTCGCTTCGCCCCTCCCATGCCAGTCCCATATACAAACTACGCCATACTTCGCCCCTCCCATCTACCATTTCCAAATTCATATCCCGCAAAATTCGAAGCAAAATAGGCAAAACATTATGCAATATTTCCACTTTCAAAATCCAAAATTCTAAACAAAAAATTAGGAAGAAAATAGGAAGATGAACAAAGAGAAATATGAAGAAAAGGATGGAGATGAAGAGGGGGATGGAAGAATAAAAATTTGGAAGAAACAGAGGGAGAGGGACGGAGCAAAATAAGGAAGAAAAGGGGGATTAGCGGAAAAGAATTGGGAATAGAACCAGTAGTAGTAATAAAATATTACTAAATATGTATCAAATAATATAAAATATTAATAAATATGAATTAAATAATATAGTATTAGAATTTATTATTATCTAACTTATTAGTTCGACACTGCACCAAACGTTTCACTAAGGTAGTCCTGCTTAATCTAGTCTATGCCAGTCCAAATTAATCCCCAAAGCTAATTTAGTTCGAAATAGTCCGATACAACAAACACACCCTTATATATACGAAGTAGTTGGAAAAAGGCCTTACTTACCAGGATACACGTGGGTGCCCATCATATTCCCACGTCCATTGCGTGGCAGAAGTAGCACATGTGTTTGACTGCTACCCTGGTACGTTGGGAAAATGCTCAAATAGCTTTGAGTAGTGGGACCCACTGGACACGCTGCTAGGCCGACACGTTGCGCGGCCTTTATCTTCATATTTGTCCTTTTCTTAATTCTGAATCTACTTGTTGAAAGAAAATAAATTTCTTTAAAATTTTAACTTGGAATTGTATACAAAATTCACGCTGGCCAAGCTTCTAGACTTCAAAATTAGTTTGGAGAGCAGATGGTGGACCTTGCCCAAATTACCCCCTGCCACTTATTTTCATCACTTAAAAAAAATTGTATTTGTATAAGTATCGGAAAAAACAAAAAACAAATTTTTTTTTTTGCAAGTGGCCCTTTACTACAGTGTGGAAAAGTGTTGAGATCTTGTATGAAGACATGAGTTCGAATCAGGTTGGAGACTAATCTAACATAATCTATCAGTTGACCAAAATATATATATATATATATATATATATGTAGGGAAAATAATGAAAAAAAAACTTACTCCAAAAAAAAAAAAAGATTGTAACCTTTTTTTTTTCATTCGCGTTTTATTTTTCGGCTCCTCATGCATCAAATCTTCACTCTATCTTTGGAGATTGATAATTCAATTAAGCTACACAACGAACTATGGATAATTACTTGGTATTGAAATTTTCAAAACGTGAGTCAAATTTATATATCCAAATTACATATTAATGAAATTCTTTTTGTCAACAAAAAAAAGATGAAAAAATAATTTTGTCTTCTATCACAACAAAAAGTTAAGAATAGTAATGTAATTTTACAAAACAAAATTTTTCTTTTTTTGTTTAAACCTTACCTACAGGTAATTTTATAATTTCTAATTTAAAGAAAAGATCTCTCCCTCTCTCCCCACTCTCACGTTCTCTCTTACTCTCTTCCTCACTCCTTCAATTTTAAAAACAAAAGTAAAAAATTTCACACACACTTTATATGTAGGCATATACTAGTAATAGAAAAGAAAGAGAAAATTGTAAGGTTAATGTTGTCAAGTCATCTTAACTTCTCTTTAAAATTTAAACTAATGAATATTAATTTAATTTCCAGAATAATATTTTAAAAATGGTTATCATATTTTTAAACTGTCTGCGTCACCTTCCACTGTCTCTCTTAAGGTTGCAAAGAGAAGGTAGAGAGAGAGAGAGAGAGAAAATGAGACTTGCATCGACGACTTCCCATCCCTGAAATCAAAGCTTCTTCTTAGGGTTCTTATCCTGCTACTTGGCTCACCACTGTAAGATTTTCCCTCCCAATTTTTTGCTCCAATGTGTCTGCATGTTTGAAATTGTTGTTTTTCTTAGAAAAGCTCCTTCTAATCTCTGTTTGGTCAGCGAGGAAATATTAGAAAGTTTCGAGCTTTGGTTTTGGATGTAGATAAGTGAGCTCAAATTTCCAGCTTTGCCCCCTAATTTTTGGTTTAATTGAACATTTGATGCAAAAGCTTTTGAAAATTTAGCCTGGTTTAGTGGAGTAGGACAGTGTATTTCACATGTATTTATTTTGATTAGGAACGATGTTGCTACTCTAAGCTAGATTAAGGGGAGGCGAAGGTTTGAACCCGCTATCAATCAGGGCAATCCATCATTTGCGTGTATTTCACATTTATAAATTTGAATTTTTTGTTCATGCTTTTTTATTTTTTTTTATTTTCTATAATTGCGTATGATTAAAGATATAATTACATGTTAAAGATACCCAAATGATTTGTGCTTATATTTTTCTTTATTTCGTATATAATTGCTTAATTCAGAGGGACTTACAGAATATTGTTGAGGGCATAAAATTCCCTCCTATGTTTCCTTTTGGCTTGAAAATTAATATTCTTTACGATATCCCTGTCTGTGTTCCTCGAGTTCATGGTAGGAACTCTACGGTTACCCAAAAGGAGGGGAGATTGCAATACCCCATTACGCCACCGCTTTAACTTTTTGATAGCAGTGTTTAGGGTATTTAAACCTGGGAGTCTAAATGTCAGCTGGAGTTAGTACTATTAGAAGAGGCCTGGGTCATCAGAAATAGTGTAAGGGCATCCCAACCCATTTCCTATCGGTCAGTTGGGGAAAAGAGTTATAGCAACTCATCCCTGCTATTGAGAGAAAAGTCGCCGACCCTCTATGCTATGGGATAATGGATGTGGGTCGCGAGAGCTAAGACTCCTCTTGAGTTGTTGTACATGGGTAAGTAAATTGTTACGTCTCAATTCACAAAGGTCCGCCCATTTGTTATGTGTGCAATTTTCTTCCTGGTGCAAGTGCCAACGCCAAGGAAGGGACGTTGTGATACCCAGAGGGGAAATCATAATATTTGTGAAGGAGGGAGGATTGTGATTCCCCTGAATCACATTGGGTATGCAGTAGGAAGATCTAGAGCATGCAAGTGAGGCTTGGGAATCCAAAACTGTATTGGAAGTGACATTTTTGGGAGAGGTCTTAGGCTGTTACAACGTTTGGTTGCTGTACTTATGCCTAGCTTTGTCCTCAAGAAATTTGGTAAAAGGCTTATTAACTAGGAATACTATGATTTAAATGGAACATCAATCTTTACCATTCTGTTCGATTTGTTTCGCTGAATTATTTTATGATCCATGTATGTATTTTTCTATAACTGAATGACGGTTTGGTTTCTGTCTTCGGATATGATTTCATGAATGTGCTCCTAGTGGATTTACATATTGTAGGGATTTTCTGTCTTTTCTGTCTTATGTTAATGTTAAACCCATGCTTATATTCTTCTCAGGAGAAAGTGGTGAATGATGCCAGCTAAATCTAATGAAGATCTGCATAGAGCATGGTGCTGAGACTGCGCTGCGACCTATCTACTCCCAACCTTGGTGGCGTGGAGTGGGGAATGGTACAGCATCATCTATGGTGGATCATAGTAGTAGTATGGTCATGAATGGAGCTATGCAGGCACAAACTAATGCTAGGCTGGATGGTCGGGCCAACTTCAATAAAGAATTTCGGACTACAGTAGAATCACAGTCTGGTAGTTACTTTTTGAATTATCATATCCCACGAAAATTTCATGTGAACTTAGTTTTCATATGTTCTGGGAGATTATATACACTTGCTGATATAAGAAATTAAATATAAAGTAACCATTCGGAAAAACTTTTCATTTTCTTTTACTATAACTTTGTGTTCTTTCTGAGATTGAAGGACAGAATGTATCATCAGTTTGACATACTGATCAAGACCTTTTAATCTGTGAAATAAAGGAAAAGTTCAATGTTTTTACGATCTAAGCTGAATGCCTTAATACAACTGAGTATTTTTTGGAGAAAAAGAAATTAAGTAGGCCATACTTAAACAACGGTGTTAGATATTACAATCTTTGTCCTACTAACTTATTTTGTTTATGAGCCGGTTTATTTACGAAAAACTATATCTAGTTGAAAAAAAAATAAGGAACAGCATTACGAAAAAATTATGTCTAGTTAAAAAAAAATAGACTTATGTGTTAATGCAAGTTTCTTTTTGTTCAGATGGGAATAGTGGAAGTGAAAACCAACATACCAAAAGCGTTTCGTCCTCAGTGGTTCCTGCAATGGGTCAACACGTGGATCCAAACTCACAAATGGAACTTGTTGGCCACTCAATTGTAAGTACTTTCTCTTTTCTCCTCACATTCTACATGTACAAACCTTAAAAACATATGGAAAGAATTACAGACACTCGAAGAACAGGAATTTGCATCCATTACTATGCATCCAATTTCTTCTGGAAAAATGTCTGCTGTTCAATAAGAGGGTTTACAAGTTTATTAAACTATGCAGGTTATGTCATCGTATCCGTATGCAGATCCACAATATGGTGGGATGCTGACTCCTTATGGGCCACAAACTATGGTATGCAATCTGCAGTTGTTGATATTGTTTCAGTACTATATATTGTATTTAAGTTGGCACGGCAGGAAACCTTCAATGAACTGTGCCAGTTAAAATGAAGCTTTTGTAAATATAGGATTTCCATAATGCTCTTGTAAATGTGTTGAGAAAGCAAGGGGAAATGAGATACATTAATCATATCAATAGGTCTTTGAGCCAATGATGCTCTGGATACCATGTTGAGGAAGTAAGGAGAATGAGATAAAAGGGTTCAAATAGTGTCCACGTCTAGCCAAAAGTAGAAAACTAAATTATAACCAAGTCAATTAAATTATTAATTAAGTAATTTACCTCTATAAACAAATTGGGAAAGCAAATACTTTTACCTGGAATCCTAATTACATCACACCTTTTATTCTCCAAAGCTTGCATTTATGCACATTCATACTTCGTACCAATATTTCTCTCATCAGTTCCGTTAAAATATACAAGGGACGAAATTGATGAGCTTGAAACACAAGGGACCAAACTGATGAGTTGGTAAAAGATAAAGGACCATTTGTGATAAAAATATGTATTTATGTTTTTTCTGTCGGGTTTGGTACCATATATACATGTTTGGTAATCAATGTTGTAGTCCACAATAGATGCAACTCTTGCACTTTCTAGTCTTGTATAAGCAATAGGATGAATATTATCGTACTGCACTGAATTTAGTGTTGAGAAAAGTTGTCATTTCATATCTGATGGTTTTTAGCGTGATGCTAGTTGCCTCCCCACTTCTATGGTATGCATCCTGGTAGAATGCCTTTGCCTCCTGATATGGAAGAGGAGCCTGTGTATGTAAATGCCAAGCAGTACCATGGTATTTTGAGAAGAAGACAGTCACGTGCTAAAGCTGAGCTTGAAAAGAAACTTATAAAAGCTCGAAAGGTAAATGATTTCAATTCTTTCGTTCTTCAAACTCATGAGGAGTTGGGTACAAGAAACCAGCAAGGATGAAATATGGAGTTTAATGAATATTTGTTCTCTATGTCTAATTTCTGAAGAAAATGCATCAATACAACTTTAATTAAATTAAATAAGTAAACTACTCATGCCAAGTAGTATGATGTGTAGGGTGACTTGTGAATATAGGATCAACTAGTAGCAAGTATGAGCTTGAAATCTAAAGTCTAAGGTGGATTAACTAGTAGCAAATTTGATAAAGTTATACAATTTTGGAAGTTAGAAATATGGAAATATCAATAGAAACACTGGAACTCTGGAGATGTATTATCAGAAATATTGGTAAATGTCGGTTAGTAGCAGTCATTTCTGACTCGTCTTCACCAGTGTCGTTTTTTTGGGTATGTAAATTGGTGATATCAAAGTAATGTTGGCGATATGCTGAATGAAAATGTCTTTCATTCCATGTTCATATTAGCATATACTTTTTACAACCACATTGGTGGGTCTATCGTTTTTTCACTCCCGGACACATGCTTTAGGCTTCAATTTGGGTGGTAAAGCCTTGATGATACATGGTGGTTCCTTTAGGTTTTATGTTCATACATCAGTAACTACTTGATCTGCTTCTTCTGCTTAGTAATTCGTCCTTTAGGGCCTGTTTGACATATGATTTTATTGTCACTGTACAGCCATATCTTCATGAGTCTCGACACCTGCATGCATTAAGGAGGGCAAGGGGGTGTGGAGGTCGCTTCCTTAATAAAAAGAAACAAGATGATAACGACGAAAATTCCTCACTAGAAAAGGGCATGAATTATGATGGAAACCATTCAGCTGAATCTGCCAAATCTGGTTTTGAGTGCTGTCCAAATACCAGCAATGGGAATTTTGATTCCTCAAATGTCCAGCAAGACAGATCAGGTCAATGGCTCAGGACACACAGCCACCACACACACTCTAATGGTAATGGCAATGGTCATGGCCCATCATCAGCATACCCTTCCACGTTTGGTGACAGCAAGGAAAGTGTGTTCCTGGGTCAACAGAGGGAAAACATGCAGTTGAATGGGTTGTCTCGCGGCGCCATCCCCAGTAAATGAGATCCCTCTACGAGGTTTGGGTCCCCTCTTGACAGGGTTTCAGTTCATGTGGCAAGCCGTTTTTATCAGTTGTCCATCTTCTTGTATTACATAGAGGCTTATATCTTGCAGGAGATGCTCAAGGCGTGCAGAGTCTCTCTTGGAGGACACCCGGCTGTGCAATGTCAGTATCCGGCAACTCATTCTTGGCTTTGGTTACCTTGTAATTATTGGGGGTGGGGCGGAAGGAGATGGTGGTGGAGTTCATGTCGTCTTGAGCCTGCCATCGCTTGCACTCACTCCTGTTGTAGAAACAGTAACAAAAGGCATCAGTTGGGAACTTAAAACCAGAAAATTAGTTGTGAATGTGTAGATTCTAAACACTGCAGGTATTTTGATTTTCGAAAGTGTGTTGTGACTTGGGTTTCGGACGAAATTTAGGGTTGTGGTGACTCCTGAAAAGACTATTTCCCATCCCTGGAGGGGAGAATTTGATCTGTGTTTCTAAATGTAGCTATAATTATCTGGTTTTCTTAGCAGTCCAACTACTTTTTGAGGCACTACTGGGTTTGATTATTGTTACGTATTTTTACAACACTCCAGTTTAATTGTGCAAAAACCAAACTAGTTTCCACAATTTTGAATGAGGATGTGAATAGGGGGAGCTGGGGTGTTTTGAGTAAATTTAGCTTTAGGATGTGTGTTGTGACTTGTGAGTAAATTAAGTAGAGTTGTAACCAAAGGAGGAAAAGAATAAATTAAGTTTTCATATAAATATTTTTCCATTTTGCAAAACGATGATTTTGCAAACTATTCTGGTCTATGGAAAGATGACAAACTGACTTATCTTATATCATGAACGACGTATTGAGAAACATATAAATTTTTGGTTATGACAAGGTTACATTGTATTAATTTATACGAAAATTGAATGTTTAAGATTGAAAATAAAAAGGAAAATTTAATGAAAAGCTTCTGATACTGTTCACTTTAACGAAAAACCACATTTTTACATTAAAAAATCAATTCTGATACTATTCACTTTACCCTTTATTTTATCCTTATCGTTAAAATTCAAAATTTTTAAATCTTTTTTTATTAATTTTCCTAAATAAAAAACCTAACAGTTTTGGAAATCAGATAATCAGAACCCAAAAACTTCCTCTGAAAATGTAGAATTAAAAAGAATTTTGGAAACAAGGCATGAGAAAACAAAAGGTTTTCTAGATCTCAATGAAGCCCAGCCCAAAGTGCAATATCTGGATGGAAGGCAGTGGACCACGTGATAACCAGTCCAAACAAACCTGAAACCCTAGCACACATCTTGCAATCTAAAACCTACCTTCCTCCCGTCCCTCCCCGCCTTCTCTCTCTCGATTGAAGTTGTCTGTCTGTCTGTAAAAGCAGCTAGAGATGTCCCAATGATGAACAATTTAGTAATCTGAGGAGAATGCATGAAATTACAATTAAAAAATTGGTGCTCCCTTTTCTGCAGAGGTTGAGGAGCCAATTCTTAATTGCTTTCGTGCTCTCCAGGTTGAAACCAGGCTTTCCTGAGGGATTTTCTTTCTTTTTCTTTCACCATATTTTGCTTTTTAGAAACATTGATTCATATATGCTTAATTTGTTTGAGGTTTTTCAATTTTCTAGTTTTTATGTTTTTTTTTTTTTTGTTTACTTGTTAAGCAAATTAGTTATTCTTTGTTCATCCATTGTGCTTGTAGCTAGAAACCAAGAAGATGCTTTGTTTAGGATTAGTGAGTTTGATACAAGTAGGAACCAAATTGCTGAGATAAAGCAATGCTTATTTGGATTGGTCAAAGTTATGAATCGAGGAAGTCATAAATAAAAACTAATGTCGTTGGGCGATCCCAAGTCAACAAGGCTTCTCGCTTTGCGAGGGTTGAAAAATGAACGTTTTTTCGTACATAGCCTTACCTTTTTTTTGCAAGGAGATTGTTTTCACAACTTGAATCCTTGACATTTTGGTCATAAAATGAGCAATCTTTTAGACTTGATCGTTGACATTAATCAAAATTAGTGATGTCTCGATCTTTTTGTTTTTAGGTCCACGAAGCGGTTCGGGCCAGATAATCAAACACCTTATGTTACTCGGCCAAAAATGTGGTTTGTCTAATCTGGTCATATAGACCTCCAATTTCTTGTAATTGTGATTGATTTGAGCTGAAAACATAAATTGGATGGTGATGTTGTCATTTAGGTTCCTTTGACATGCCACATTAACTAGTGTGAATGTGATCTCTTATGCACTCGAGTTTGAATTTCCATCATCACAGTATAGATTAGTTTAAAATAAAATATCGTTTGTTCAAAAGAAAGAAATAGATTGAAAGATTTCAACCTTCACATTTTAAGTCAAATTGGGAGGATGGTAATATTGTCATTTGGGTTCCCTCTTTGTTATATCATCATTGTAGACGTTGAAGCCTATAGTTCAATAAGCTTGCCAATTTTTCCTCATTTGTGATGACTTGGTACCTACCTTCAATCTTCAAGCTATCACTTTCAAGTATCAAGATGACTTGTTAGAGAAGAAAAGATTTAGCCGTTGTATACATCAAGAGGGAGATAATTAAGATTTGTAAGATTTAGCCGTCGTATACACCAAGAGGTAGATAATTAAGATTTGTAAGCTAAAATCACAAGAGGAGAGACAAAAATTAATTACCACTTAAACTTGTTGCTAACAAATTCGACCGCAATCGATATTGCAATCATAAAAACGAACCCCATGCAAATAAGAAAAACGGAAAATGCATCCAAGTATATAATTAACATTAATCAAGATGGTATAGGTATTGATTCATTTTGTTCCAAGTAATTAAAACACAACAGACTAATAGAGTAGTTTAAATACAGAGGTGTATACATTTTGTTCGATCATTATATTATCGATTGCAGTCGAATTTGTTAGCAACAAGTATAAATCACAAGAGTAGTTTAAATACAGAGGTGTATACATTATATTACAGTGGCCTGCCTTCCCTTGCGGGTTCTTCCAATGATCGAACAATTAGAGCTTCGCTTGTTCTTGCAATTGCTCCTGTTCAAGAAACCGTAATTTACATCAGAAGCGCGCTACCAAGAAAAGGAATGGTAAGAGTAGGAGAACGAAACATAAACGCAAGCAAGCACCGGGTTAGAACTTAGAAGGCAGTTTTGAGTCAAATTAAATCAAATAAAACTGATCTGCATGATCCCAATCTTCGTGTGAATATGTGCACTGCATGATGCAGAATGAAGTAAAGATTAAGGTGCATCTTCGGAACAATTGAAGTGGCGCTGACCTCTGTCACGAAGATAGCATGCAAACCGTATGGAACTCTGTGTGGCAATTCCACAACTGCAACGGGGTCTGGTGACATTGTCTTTGCATCAACTACATGAATTGCTGATTTTCTGCATGATCAAAATGCAAGTTTAGATTGCAGTCTGTCCTCAAGAAGATTGAACTTCACACGCACGTCACTGCATAACCGCTGGTAACACCGGTTTACTCAGCTTCAAAAGCATAAGCACGGAGAGGTATAAAGAAACTTATATTATGGTTTATAAGAATATCCAGCGGAAAAAAAAAAATAGTCTGAGAAATGAAAATAGTACCCAGTGTTCTCGTCATGAACAAAGAGTATTAAGTAGCCATCATCTTCTTCAGAAGTAACGCCAGGAGTGCGAGGGACAAAAATAGCCTCAGAACCAAATCTGCCAGGTCCCAGGTCATAGAGGCCTTGGACATTTCCTCCAACCTCAATTTGTGTTTTTCCAACCTCTGGTTCAGCATGCAGATCAAACTTGGCTACTCCTGTAACCTTGAAAATGCTGTCCAGCAAGGTTCCGTACACATAACGCTGCTTCCTGATTTCACACAAGTTAATTGATGAAATAAGTAAACATGAATGTTACACTAGCCTAAAAGAACACTAGGCAGCTCCCAGGGAAAGGATATGCGTACCTTCCGGTGTAGCTCTCATTCACCCTGGGAAAATCTACAGCCGCTTCTGATAGTTTCTTTTGGGATGCTAGACCAGTTTTCAAGTTGAATCTCATTTCGTACCTGAAAATAATTAGAACAGTCAGAAGCACCATCTCTCAAGGAATCAAGTCAGCAACATCTGTCAAAATCTCTTACAGCTCATTTCTGAAGTTTTCAAGCTTTTCTTTGAACATTTCCAAATCAAAATTCTCAAAGCGGCATGTGATTAAAACAACTTCATCCTCCTCCTCCCAAGCATTAGCTACATAAAAGGGGAAAAAAAGGGCAAACCATCAGAACGTAGACAAGAAAGAGCTTTAAGCATAGTGTAAACACGAACCATGCATGATCATAGGTACTATTGTTGAACCAATCGACAGTAACTATAAGTTACACATTTTGAACAAAAATCCGGTCATTAGTAAAGTTCCGGGACTGAACAGGACAAACTAACAGAGCCATTTCATTTCTGTTTTCATTACATGCACATGAATAGACAGAAAACCACTTTGCAGACTGTTGAACTATAAATTATGATTTGCAGAAATCTAAACTACTTCCAGACTGAAATGAATAACGTGGAGTTACAATTGTGCCATATCAACTAATATTCTTCCAAGTCAGTCAAGGATATACCAGAATTTTGGCATATTGGTTAATCCAAAAAGGTCCCAATTTACATTAAGGAAAAGTTACCAAAAAGAATAACAGATGTAATGGTTGATCGGTTATTCGTCGGTAGATGGGAGTCAGAGAAGAACAATTCCCTCCTAGTCAGCATATGATGCAGACAAACCTGAACTTAATCAAAGGGGGCTAAAATAACTTCCGTAAGCCTTGATAAGTTCAGGTGGTCTGGAATTTTAGCTAGAGGAATTCAAGGATAATATGGAACTGGAAGTTAGATCAGTACTACTCTATGAAACCGAGAAGAAAAACTGAATTAACATAAAGATCAATGGAACAGAAAGAAAAATAATAAAAATTCTAGATAGCTGGTAGGATTTTTGCGGCCTGAATCAGACAGGTGGTATGCATAGGAAGGGAGCTGATAGGCAGAAACCTACATAGAACATATTGGTTTGAACCCAACTACAAGTAGCAAGGAAAAAAAACTGCCAAAACAGCAAGGATACAGGGCTCAATTGATACACCGTAAAACAAATTTAAGATTTCAGAAAAAAAAAAGGGTGAAAGTCACAACATTTTTTTAGTAGAAAGTGATCACGCTCCTCAGATGATAACCCTTCTTAGTAATGCCTCAAAAGAATAATAAAAGTAAAGGAATTGCAGCACTTCTTTAACAGTGTATGCTGTGCTTCACCAATTAAATTTTAATAGCATGCAGGTATTTTAAATATATATTGAACTTACTAAAAAAACAATACTTGTTTCAAAGACATTGTTTTGTTGCACTACGATAGGAAGCAAATATGCGCACCATTATGGAAAATGAAGCAATTTGGAAGCTCGAACCATCTGATTAGCAACTCATCCTTTGCATACCGTGGAAGTAAACCAAAGCGAGCTTTTTTTGTTTGATCAAATGTGAATATCAACTTTTGTTCCTTAACCATTTCCTGGAAAAAAAAGAAAAATAATAACATGTTAAATCTCATTTTAATGTGATTGTTTAATGTTCAGAATAATTACTGTTAAGTTATTCATTGATCCAAAACTTAAGTGGAATAGAAGTGGGTAGTGCCACTCAATGTCCATGAATCATTTGGATCAACACTCGAACACAATACCATATTGAGTAATGTTGATCGAAAAAGCTTAAGCTTTTAGCAACAAGCCCAAGAATGCATAGAAAAAACTAGATGAAAATAATTTCAGACCTTTGGTTTGAAGATCAGGGGGAGATCCATGAAAATTGCATAGTTCTCAGTAATTGCAAAATCATGCATCATGACAGGGTCTGGTATTGTTATCGGTATAGGGTCATGCATGAAACCATCCTTCGAAATAACTCTGTAAGTGACATATGGCGGAGTCCATGAATAGCCAAATGTAAACATCTCACCTGCATTATGTACTTCATAAGTTGACAGGAAAATCTCCTTATAAGGCTGAAGAAATACATTATTATGAAAATGTACTTACCAGTGAATGGGTCAACCTTTGGATGAGCAGTGAAGGAATGTGTCAGTCTCTTATCATAATCCAGCAAGCCAACCGTTTGCAGATCTCCATCTTCCAAAACTTTGAGGACATCTGCATAATGCAAAACGAACAGTTTCCTTTACAAACTAGAAATAGACAAGAGTACCAATATGTTTGAGTCCCGCAGAAATATACGAGGCAACACAAATTGTTTCTATTTCATTGCTAATGCAACATAAGCAACTTCAGTTCCACTGAAACAGAAAAGAAAAAAAAAGTACCAATATGTCTTAGTCCTGGAAATATATAGGAGGCGACACAAAGGTTTCCATTTCAAGGCTTTTTCTTTTTCTCAACCACAAAAACCAGTCATCTATATTGCATCAAAAGAAGTTGTGCAATCCAAGAACAAGTAATCTCTTCATCCCAAAGGATCCTTGAATTGATTGAAATTGAAAAGTAGATGCAAGAAAATGGGTGAGTTCTGCTTACAAGGTTTATCCGCCTCGTGAAGAGCTAGAAGCTTCCCATGGTGATATGTGAGAGCTGTGTTACCTGGAAATGTAGAAAACAGTTATTTATGTTCACTGCTTTCTTAGGCAAGTAAAAGGACACGATTTCTTCATTAGCCAGGATTTCAAGGATAAAATTTAAGAGGCATGAAAATTTCATAAATGGTAACATGTAAATTTTAACTACGCAAATTTCAACTATGTAAATTTTACTTCAATCAAGGTGTCGTCATACCCAGTGCACAAGGCTCCCGCTTTACGCAGGGTCTGGAAGAGGTGAATATTGGCTAGCCTTACCCCCAACTTTCACAACCGGACGTGTCCATGCATACTAAATTGTGGTGTATGGATTTAAAATCCTATACAAATATCAGTAACCAAAGGCATTAAAGCCAAGAAATTGTCGCAGTTTTGACATTAACTTTAAAACAGGATAATGCATGGAAAACTGCTTTCAAAATTGTACAGAAAATAAAAATTGTTGCGGTTAAAAAAACATTTCGCACAAGAACACCTTACCAGTCCCAAAACCATAAGACATATCTAATATTTTCAGTTTTTCTCTTAGCATTTGCAAGCTCTTCATGAATAAGCCGAGAAACCCCTTAAGGTCTCCAATCTGGAAATGACACATTGAGGAACGTAAGAAAGGAATCTCCCAACTAACGTGTATGGCACAAGCGTAAACCAAATTGCAATGATATACCTTCATAAATTTAGAACCTCCAAAATATTCTTCTTGCTTAAGACGTGACGTCCTTACGTAGCGGGAGACATAAGTTGCTTTTCCATCTTTGATGCGCATACCATGAACCATACTGCAAAATGTTAACAATAACATGTATACCTTTACTTGCTTTGTCCAATTTATAATTTGATACACACAATTAAACCAAGGAAATATCATAACTTATAACAATCTAAAAGAGCAATAACTGTAAATCTTAACGCTGAGCCGTAAAATAAATCATTGAATGCAGTACCAGAAATGAAGGTGCGTAAACAATCAATGCGTACATGCTGGAAAACAGATGCATATTTCACCAAATGCACCGAGAAACAGTTCTCCGAAAAGTCTACCTCGAGAAAGCAAGCAAGCAAATAGAAAGTGGAGAACACGACGAAGATAAGAGTAATTAGGGAGTAATGAAGCACAACTAGCCACATTTTACAATAGCAAGAAAAAACAGTCGTACTGAATCCTTAACAGAAGATACTCTTCCAATATTCCCCAACACTGATTCAGTGACTTTACCAATTCGGCCAACGACACGAATACTGAATAGAAACAATTTAAGCTATTTATGGCTTATCTCAATTTTAGCATGGAAATTGAATTCAATAACATAATTACACTACAAACAAATTGTTCAGAAAACTTGAAATCAAAACATAAATATTGATGTGAAAAATGGAAAAAAAAAAACAGGGGAATCACTCACCCATCTCCATCAAACCTGCAAGGATAGCAATAAGGAACATCAGCACAAAACACAGATGACTAATCTCTGAAACATTATTTCCAACAACTAACAGAGACATACCAGTGATATCCAGCAACTGGTGCAAACTTTGGGTTGGGCCCCACCCTGACAAACTCTCCATTTAAGCACTCCTGCATTTCATACATGGCATGTCATTGGCAGGACAATTGGCAATTGAGAGAGAGAGAGAGAGATAAAGAGAGAGAGAGGTACAGGAAGATGGCCGATGACAGGGAGGTTGGTGGTGGGAGGAGTTTCATCAGCCACCGGAGCAAAGTTGCCAGCGAGGTCGTGGTGAGGCTGAGAAGAGTCGTACATCCACTTCACGATCAGCTTCTCGATCAAGTCCACCACTTTTGAAGAAAAACCCTTGTTGGGTTTTGGGTTAGGGACCACTATGGCGCTGCTCTTGAGCTGCTGGTTCTCGTCGTTAACTTCGACCTCCGCCATTGTTGTCTGGTTTCTGATCCTTGGTCGAAGTCAGCGAGTCTGCGTGGTGGAAATGGAGGGAAGGGGGGTGTTTATCGCGTGTTGTTGGTAATGGCAGTGCCACGTTTAACGTTTTGTCGTGGAACGTAGGAAACAACATATTGAAGTAAATATGTTTTTATTTAAATATTTAAATATATTTATGTTTTGTTTTATTATCATTATTCTATGCATAACAGCCAATTGATTTTAATTTTTCAATGAGATAAGGAGTTACAGCTTTTTAAGTTTGAAACATGCCATTGACTTTTCAATTAAGGAGTTATCTCCTTTTAAGTTTGAAAGGCGCCATTACTTCTCTGAGTAGAGAAGAAAATTCTGACATGATACATAATCAAACCATTTTATTTGACTTACGTTTTGATTTTGTCTTGCTTTCAATTCTCTCAAATCTTCAACGTCTCTTTATTCTAAATGTATATATAGGTGTCCCTGGAATCATTGGAAATATACGAAAAAAATATATATCTTAAAGAGAACGACTTAATCCGCGACTCATCCTAAAAATTATTCACCACTCAAGGCTTTTACATTTTTCGGATAACTCGTTCCTTACTATTTCAGTTTTCAACATAACAGAGTGCAGAGGTTGAGATAACTTAATAAAGATACTGCTTTCTCAAACTGTAAAGTGCTGCCGTTACTGTACATATAGTTGCTCCTATTGCCAACTCGTCAACTCTCTATTATATTATTGGTTTCCTGTGGTACAAGATGCTCTTTAAATTTATGAGTTCCAGTATTCATCTGTGGTGTGCCCAAAATCCTTCTGCTCACCGAGAAAATGACTTGTACAATACGAATAGACTGTTATACGATGTTTCCTGCTAATAAAACTAAAACATGTGTTTTTATCCCAATTTTTTAAAGAATAATCCCCAAATTTAGTAGTCCATCCATTTCATTCTATTCCAATATAATCTTAGGTACCAACCATGCATGGATGTTAAAGAGCAGACCCATGGGAAGGGGAAAACAAGTCTTCCACTTTGACTTCACGTTATCAAACCAATAATTAATCCACCCAAATTAGGGTGTTTTGCTATTGGGGTCTTCTGTCCCACGTTCGATAATTTCTTTTTCTCCTCTCCTCCTAGCCACTATTTAGAGGGTTTGGGAAAGGGAGAAGAGACACCAAGAGCAACAATTCACTTAGCTCAAGAGGAGAAGAGAACCCTTGGACCTACTCCAACCCTTGGAGTAAAAACTCAAATTTTAGATTCTAAACTTACCCCAACTTGCTCCAACCCTTGAGGCTAATATGAGTTAAAACTCAAAACTCATTTATGGGCCAAATTTAGCTCAAGATTAATTCTTCCATAGGTTAGTGAGGCTGACCCACCATATATGTATATTTTTTTTAATTATATATTTATAAATTCATTTAATCCAACGGTTAAGATCTAATTTGATGAAATCCAATGATAAAAAAAATTATCTAACGGTCCAAATTTAAATTCAACGGCTACGTTTTACGTAACTCCTCTATGCTTTACATACCCCAGAGAGTATGTTCGGGTTCAGAAACCCAAGCGCCGACCTCAAAAACAAATTCTGAATTTCGTTGGTCGTCCCTAATTGTGATCTTACCCGAGCACAAGGTACAACCGATGTGACATTGATATATTTGATATCCAAAAAAAACGTCTGTAAAGTAAATAATGATAGAATAATTATTATATATGTTACTGTATGTATAGTGGTAAACCTAATACAATACAAAAGAGATATGATAGACATCAAGCCACAAAAGAAAGACCAACTAAATAATTCTTCTTTCTTGCTATTGGAAATTTGGAATGAAAACTAGAGAAGTATCCATTCACTTTGATCTAGCCACTATTACTTTTTTTTTGTCAGAAGGTAGAGAACATTCATAAAACAAAGTCCAAATGGACAGAATACAACGGAGCCCTAGAAAGGATTGGCATACAGATTGCAACGTAGGTAGCCACTATTACTTCTATTAAACACAACAATGAGACAATTGGATCTTTGGGGGTCAATTGGTTTCTATGACTGACACGAACTAGGATGCGACTCTTTGATTCCTACTCGGGGCAAAAGAGGTGCAATCGCTAAAATAGATATCAATCTCATTTTATAATGAATGGTGTCGGTGGAAAAAATTCGAATCATGATAAAGTGATGACCCTATTTTTGCATTTCAACTAGTTTATCGTACTCGTATTTCCCTAAATTTGATAAGGAGAAATTCGATCACAGTGCTTTTCTTGATTTTATCATAGAAATCATGTTTCCCTAAAGTTGATCAACATGAATTCGATCATGATGTTTTCTTGATGTAAAACCCTTTTCACGATTAGAGGCGTATATTTGGGTCTTTGATACCTATCGTCTCCTAGTTTTGCAATTCTGTGATTAGCAAAAGATCCCTTCATATGCCTAGTTCATCTAACATATATTTAATGCATTAAATAAAATTCAATGCTTCCAACTCTTCTGTTTCACATATTTCATGTTTCATTTTCCATCATGCATCATCCTCACTAGTTCAAAGAGAATTCTCTCTCGAATTATGAGTGTCTTGTGTTGAAATTATACGAACAAAATGTTTCTTTACATAAAAGTAGATTGTTGGCATTGAAATTGAATTCTTCCGTTTCAAACAAATAGACATTTGGAATATCTAGATTTTGTCCACCCACGAAGAACATGGTCTTCACCACAGTCGCGAAATGAAGGTTCTTCACATGAATCTTCATCACAATATCATCCAATTTCGTCCCTTATCTACTGTCTCACTCATCAATGTAATCCTTACCATTAAATTCCGTTAAAATAGATAAGGGACGAAATTGATGAGCTTGAAACACAAAGGACCAAACTGATGAGTTGGTAAAAGATAAAGGACCATTTGTGATAAAAATATGTATTTATGTTTTTTCTGTCGGGTTTGGTACCATATATACATGTTTGGTAATCAATGTTGTAGTCCACAATAGATGCAACTCCTGGAGGGGAGAATTTTATCTGTGTTTCTAAATGTAGCTATAATTATATTTTATGTTTTGATTACTATCTGGTTTTCTTAACAGTCCAACTACTTTTTGAGGCACTACTGGGTTTGATTATTGTTTAATTTTTTTAATTTTTTTATTTTATAATACTCCAATTTAATTGTGCAAAAACCAAACTAGTGTCCACAATTTTGAATGAGGATGTTAATAGGGGAAGCTGGGGTGTTTTGAGTAAATTTAGCTTTAGGGTGTGTGTTGTGACTTGTGAGTAAATTAAGTAGAGTTGTAACCAAAAGAGGAAAAGAATAAATTAAGTTTTCATATAAATATTTTTCCATTTTGCAAAATGATGATTTTGCAAACTATTCTGTTCTATGGAAATATGACAAACTGACTTAACTTATATTATGAACGACGTATTAAGAAACATATAAATTTTTGGTTATGACAAGGTTACATGGTATTAATTTATACAAAAATTGAATGTTTAAGATTGAAAATAAAGAATGTTTAAGATTGAAAATTAAAAACCTAATAGCTTTGGAAATCAGATATCAGAACCCAAAAATTTCCTATGAAAATGTAGAATTAAAAAGAATTTTGGAAACAAGGCATGAGAAAACAAATGGCTTTATAGATCTCAATGAAGCCCAGCCCAAACAAAGCTGAAACCCTAGCACACATCTTGCAATCACCTCCCTTCCTCCCTCTCCCTTCCCCGCCTTGTCTCTCTCGATTGAAGTTGTTGTCGTATTTTGCTCATCGCACACAGAGATGTCCCAATGATGAACAATTTAGTAATCTGAGGAGCATGCATGAAATTACAATTAAAAAGATTGGTGCTCCCTTTTCTGCAGAGGTTGAGGAGCCAATTCTGAATTGCTTTCGTGCTCTCCAGGTTGAAATCAGGCTTTCCTGAGGGATTTTCTCTCTTTTTCTTTCACCATATTTTGGTTTTTAGAAACATTGATTCATATATGCTTAATTTGTTTGAGGTTTTTCAATTTTCTAGTTTTCATATTTTCTTGTTTTTATGCTTTTTTTTTGTTTGCTTGTTAAGCAAATTGGTTATTCTTTGTTCATCCATTGTGCTTGTAGCTAGAAACCAAGAAGATGATTTGTTTAGGATTTAGCGAGTTTGATACAGGTAGGAACCAAATTGCTGAGAGAAAGTAATGCATATTTGGATTGGTGAAAGTTATGAATCAAGGAAGTCATAAATAAAGGGGAAAAGGACTGTACATGTCAAATTTACTTTTTTCTTGGAAAATTCTAGAAATATAAATAAATAAAAAATCTATTATTAATAAATTTATCTATTGTTTGACCAAAAAAAAATATATATATATATATAAAACCACATGAACAAAATTAGTGTTTATGATAAACATGGGTTAATTTTTAGTCAAATTATTAGTATAAAAAATAAACTATGCGAAGTTAATCATGAGTAGTAGAAAAGTTCACGAGGCTAAGGGCTCATTTGGATGTGCTTTTAAAATGATTGAAAACGCTTTTAGATAAAATGTTTTTGAGTTCCAAAAGGACTTTAAGTGTTTTCTACAAGAAGCACCAGTTATGTGTTTCTTCCAGAAAACACTTAAAGTGTTTTTCAAGGATTTACTAGCATTTTTACTAAGGATTGTTTTCAAAAATATTTTTCACCAAAAGCGTTTTCAGTCATTTTAAAATCATATCCTAATGAGCTCTAAGTGTGTTTGAAAATTTATCAACCCAAAGTTTTTTTTTTTTTATGTCAACTTTTAGCGTGAATCGATTCTTGTCAAGTGTTTAGATAAATTCTGGTCTTAAGTAACCAATTATTCATGATATAGTCATAAATTAGTTGGATTATTATTTTTCATTTAGTTTTGGGGTGAAGGTAGTTTACTTGCATAGTGTAAAACGCTAAGGATTTGATAACTCAAGTTATGTGTCACAAAAAATGGTAACCTTCTAAAAAAAATATTAGTACAATCTTAGTAAAAACTAATGTTTTTGCGTCACTTGTGAGGCTTAGCTCACTTTTCCTATTCTATAATGTATATTATATTGTTTAAAAGGTGAAGCCAACAAGGCTTTCCGCTTTACGAGGGTCGAAAAAGGAACGTTTTTTCGTATGCAACCTTACCTTTGTTTGGCAAAGAGGCTGTTTTAACAACTCGAATCCGTGATCTTTTGGTCATAAATGAGCAATCTTTTAGACTTAATCGTTGACATTAATCAAAATTAGTGATGTCTCGATCTTTTTGTTTTTAGGTCTACGAAGCGGTTCGGGCCAGATAGGCATAAGTTCAAACACCTTGTGTTCCTAAACTTGGCCAAGAATGTGTAATGTCTAATTTGGTCATATAGACCTCCAATTTCTTGTAATTGTGATTGATCTGAGCTGAAACACAAATTGGATGGTAATGTTGTCATTTAGGTCCCTTTTGACAAGCCACATTAACTAGTGTGAATGTGATCTCTTATGCACTCGAGTTTGAATCTCCATCCTCACAGTTTAAATTAGTTTAAAATAAAATATCCACTTAAACTTGTTGCTAACAAATTTGACTGACTGCAATCGATATTGCAATCATAAAAACGAACCCCATGCAAATAAGAACAAAGGAAAATGCATCTACGTATATAATTAACATTAATCAAGATGGTATAGGTATTGATTCATTTTGTTCCAAGTAATTAAAACACAATAGACTAATAGAGTAGTTTAAATACAGAGGTGTATACATTATATTATTGGTGGAGACGCGGAGTAGACCGTCTACACGACAACAGGTTCAATTTACAGTGGCCTGCCTTCCCTTGCAGGTTCTTCCAATGATCGAACAATTAAAGCTTCGCTTGTTCTTGCAATTGCTCCTGTTCAAGAAACCGTAATTTGCCTCAGAAGGAGAACAAAACATAAACGCAAGCAAGCACTGGGTTAGAAGGCAGTTTCGAGTCAAATTAAATCAAATAAAACTGATCTGCATGATCCCAATCTTTGTGTGAATATATGCACTGCATGATGCAGAATGAGGTAAAGATTAAAGTGCATCTTCGGAACAATTGAAGTGGTGCTGACCTCTGTCACGAAGAATGCATGGAAACCGTATGGAACTCTATGTGGCAATTCCACAACTGCAACGGGCTCTGGTGACATTGTCTTTGCATCAACTACATGAATTGCTGATTTTCTGAATCATTAAAATGCAGGTTTAGATTGCAGTGTGTCCTCAAGAAGATTGAACTTCATATGCACGTAACTGCATAACCGCTGGTAACACCGATTTATTCAGCTTCAAAAGCATGAGCACCGAGAGCTATAACGAAACTTATAATTTGGTTTATAAGAGATATCCAGCGGAAAAGGACGAATAGTCTGAGAAAAGAAAATAGTACCCAGTGTTCTCGTCATGAACAAAGAGTATTAAGTAGCCATCATCTTCTTCAGAAGTAACGCCAGGAGTGCGAGGGACAAAAATAGCCTCAGAACCAAATCTGCCTGGTCTGAGGTCATAGAGGCCTTGGACATTTCCTCCAACCTCAATTTGGGTTTTTCCAAACTCTGGTTCAGCAATGCAGATCAAACTTGGCTACTCCTGTAACCTTGGCAATGCTGTCCAGCAAGGTTCCGTACACATAACGCTGCTTCCTGATTTCACACAAGTTAATTGATGAAATAAGTAAACATGAATGTTACACTAGCCTAAAAGAACATTAGGCAGCTCCCAGGGAAAG